CTCCGCCTGACTTATTGTTCTCACTTTGTGGCTCCCTCTCCAGTGTTTTCTATATCGTTCTACCCCCCAGAATTTCAATCCCGAGGGGTCATTCCCATGATGACTAGCGAAATGTTTGAAAACACTATGTTTTGGGTTACCCTTTTGTATATTTTTCACATGTTCTCTTAATCTCACCCACAAAGCCCTTTTAGTACGTCCCACATACTGCAGACCACAGTTACACTCTAGAACATAAATGACCCCTTCGGTTTTACACGTAATAAAATCTTTGATCTCAAATGGCCTCCCATTGCTATTAGACACAAACTCTTTCTTCTTTTGATTTTGCCCTTTTGTGACTTTGCAGACACTACATTTTTTACAAGGATAAAAACCTGTAACATTAAACAGGATACTTTCTCTATTCATCTTAGGTGGATCTAATACATTCTTCATAATTTTATTCCTCAAAGTAGGAGCTCTCCTGTAGATAAATTTGGGTTGTTCTGGCAATATATTGCCTATAGGGGGTCCATTTTTAAAATCGGCCAGTGCTTCCTAAAAATATTTTGGATCTTTTTATATTGTAAATTAAAATCCAGAATCACCGCTACTTGATCAGCCTTCTCCTTATCATCACTTTTTATTTTATTCCCAATAAGTTTCTCTCTATCCATATTGGCCACCTCCAGTTTTTTCTTCTCAAAATCAACCACAGAATAACCTTTGGATGCAAACCTTTTTTCTAAAATCATGGCCTGAGTATTATAATCTTCTTTGTATGTGCAGTTTCTTTTTAACCTGATGAACTGGCCCTTTGGGATGTTCAGTAACCAAGGGGGAAAATGACAGCTCTCTATCGGGATGTAACCATTCCGGTCCACATCCTTGAAATGCGTTTTGGTACTAATAATTTCCCCTTGTACTTGGATGTCCAAATCTAAAAATTGAATGGACTGATTACTGCATTTCCATACAAACTTTATGTTCTTATTATTATTATTTAATTGTTTTAAAAAATCCATCAGTTTACTTTCATCCCCTTTCCATATGATGAATACATCATCTATGTATCTCTTATACATTGCCAGTTCAGCAGGTTTATCTTTATATACCGAATCTTGTTCCCAGTGGGCCATGAACAAGTTTGCCACACTTGGGGCAAAACGAGCTCCCATAGCTACACCCCTAATCTGTCTATAGAAAACCTTGTCATACCAAAAGTAGTTATGGCTCAGACTGAAATCAAGACATTGTATAATAAATTTCCTCTGCGTCCAATTTAAATTACTTAATCCCTCAGACCCCACCCCGTGGCTTCCAATGCATCTTCATGGTTAATGATAGTGTATAACGAGGATACATCAGCGCTAGCCAATATTATGTTAGAGCTCCCTTTTTCCTCTTCCAGAAGTTGAATTAGATGTTTGGTATCTCTCAAAAACGATACCGTATTCTGGACCAATGGTTGTAAAAAGGTATCTATATATTGGCCTAGTCTGGCCAATACCGATTGGATACCGTTAACAATCGGCCTCCCCGGTGGGTTAACAGAATCTTTATGCATCTTCGGAATCGTATAGATTACCGGTATACGACAGCATTCTGGTACCAAATATCTGCCCTCTTTACTATTTAGTATTTTTCTCTTTTCACCTATTTTAATCAGCTGTTCCAATTCCTTTCTGTATATCCTTGTGGGGTCTTTTAGTAATTTCTGATATGTATCCACATCATCCAACTGTGCCTGCAATTCACTACAATAATAATCCTTGGAAAGTACAACGATTCCCCCTCCCTTATCTGCCGGCCTTACTACTATGTCATTCCTTTTCATTAATTTATTCACACCTATTTGAAATCCATGGTTAACCTTCTTATTCGGAATTTGTAAATTCTCTAAATCTTTATTAACCATTTTTTTAAAAACTTCCACTTGATTATTACTATTAATCTGGGGATTAAAAACAGATTTATTTTTCAATGCGGTATGGGTAAATTTATCATTAAAATTCTTAAAAGTATTATCTTTGGCTCTAGTGAGCCCTAAAAAATATTTCTTCAAGTTCAATTTCCTGATGTATTTTTGCGTATCTATATACGTATTAAACTTATCCATATTCTTAGGGGGTGCAAATTTTAAACCTTTGTCAAGGACCATAATTTCTTCTCTTGAAAGGGATGTCCCACTAATGTTAAAGATCCCTTCCCCTACTGGTCTCTTTTCCTTTTGTTTTTTGCTTCCTCTGCAGCCCCTTCTCTTCCTGGGCTTTTCTGTTTCCCTGGTATTGGACTCTTCTCCCCTTTGCCCCTCTCTAAAAAATCCCTACTAGGATAATGATTTAAAGGTTCAAACCTATTCTGGGTTGGGACAGGACCCTGATTATCATACCTAGGTGGATACCAATCTCCATTCCTAGGACTTCTCTCATAATATGGTTGATAATTCATCCCTTGTTGTGGATAATAATTCCTCGGTTGTTGGTAATCTGACCTAGATTGATTCGATCTATACGGTTGGTAATAGGGTCTCCCTCTTTTACCTCTCCCTGCTTGTCCATTATATGATCCTCCTCTCTTCACAGGTCTCCACCCGTTATTGGGAGTAGGATAAGACTGTGTATTATTGTCAGGGCTCCCAGGTGTGACCAGAGATGTGTGACTGACGCAGGGAAACGCAGACCTCAGATATGTTATAAACAATATAATTTATTAACACTAACAATACAAACATAAACGCAGTGAAATACTAAAACATAATACAGTGCAAACAAACCAAACCAAACCACCCACAGATAACAGTACATACAAGCAAGCGTCGTCAGGCAGGCCGGGTCAATATCAATAGGGCAGGTAGGTACAGGGGGAGCAAGCGGAGATTGGTCAGGGTCACAAGCCAGGGATCAGAACAGGTAGCAAGCAGCGTGGTACAGAGGGTCAGACAGAGGGATGGTCAGGAGCGAGCTGGGATCAGAGCAGGAGAAGTCAGCAGCGGTTCAGAAACAGGATGCAGGACAGAAACAGGATGCAGGACAGAAACAGGATGCAGGGCCCAGGACAAACACACACCAAGGCAGAGTCTGTGGGTCTGGCCATCCCTTAAATACCCCAGCATAATCAGTTCCAGGTGTTAGCTGGCTGCAAAGTTGAGTCTCTGATTGCTGGGAACACCCGCTGGCCAGCCCTGGTACTGCAGATCAAAAGGCAGGTGAGTCCCACCATAGCTGGCCAGTCCATTCCTGACAGTAACCCCCCCTCAAGGAGCGGCCTCAGGACGCTCCAAACAGTCCTAGCTGGGAAAAATGTTCCACCGCCCGGGTCTGGTAACTGGCGGGATATCAAAGACTGGCACACCGGGCAGGACTCCGGGCAGCGGTACACCGGGCAGAGGCACATCGGGCTGGACTCCGGGCAGAGGCACATCGGGCTGGACTCCGGGCAGAGGCACACCGGGGCTGGACACACCGGGCAGAGGCACTCCGGGCAGAGGCACACCGGGCAGAGGCACACCGGGCAGAGGCACATCGGGCTGGACTCCGGGCAGAGGCACATCGGGCAGAGGCACATCGGGCTGGACTCCGGGCAGAGGCACATCGGGCAGGACCCCGGGCAGAGGCACATCGGGCAGGACCCCGGGCAGAGGCACATCGGGCAGGACCCCGGGCAGAGGCACATCGGGCTACCAGGCGAAGCAGCAGGCAGCGGGCCCCGGGCGGGGCGACGGGCGCCGGGCCCCCGGGCAGGGCGACGGGCGCCGGGCCCCCGGGCGGAGCGGCGGGCGCCGGGCCCCCAGGCGGAGCGACAGGTCTCGGGCCCTCAGGCGGAGCGACAGGCATCGGGCCCTCAGGCGGAGCGACAGGCATCGGGCCCTCAGGCGGAGCGACAGGCATCGGGCCCTCAGGCGGGGCGACAGGCATCGGACCCCCAGGCGGGGCGACAGGCATCGGACCCCAGGCGGGGCGACAGGCATCGGACCCCCAGGCGGGGCGACAGGCATCGGACCCCCAGGCGGGGCGACAGGCATCGGACCCCCAGGCGGGGCGACAGGCATCGGACCCCCAGGCGGGGCGACAGGCCTCGGACCCCCAGGCGGGGCGACAGGCCTCGGACCCCCAGGCGGGGGCGACAGGCCTCGGACCCCCAGGCGGAGCGGGGGGGCGCCGGACCCACAGGCGGAACTACAGGTCTCGGGCCCTCAGGCGGAGCGGCGGGCGCCGGACCCACAGGCGGAACTACAGGTCTCGGGCCCTCAGGCGGAGCGACAGGCATCGGACCCCCAGGCGGGGTGACAGGCATCGGACCCCCAGGCGGGGCGACAGGCATCGGACCCCCAGGCGGGGCGACGGGCATCGGACCCCCAGGCGGGGCGACGGGCATCGGACCCCCAGGCGGGGCGGCGGGCGCCGGGCCCCCAGCGGAGCGGCGGGCGCCGGACCCCCAGGCGGAGCGGCGGGCGCCGGACCCCCAGGCGGAGCTACAGGTCTCGGGCCCTCAGGCGGAGCGGCGGGGCGCCGGACCCCCAGATGGAGCGACAGGTCTCGGGCCCTCAGGCGGCAAGAACAGGTCTCAGGTCCCCCAGACGAAGCGGCGGGCACCGAGTCACCAGGCACGACAGTGGGCACCGAGTCGTCTGGCAAGACTGCGGGCACCGAGTCAACTGGCGGAACAGCGGGCACCGAGTCAACTGGCGGAACAGCGGGCACCGAGTCGTCTGGCAAGACTGCGGGCACCGAGTCGTCTGGCAAGACTGCGGGCACCGAGTCGTCTGGCAAGACTGCGGGCACCGAGTCGTCTGGCAAGACTGCGGGCACCGAGTCGTCTGGCAAGACAGCGGGCATCGAGTCAACTGGCGGGACTGCGGGCACCGAGTCGTCTGGCAAGGCTGCGGGCACCGAGTCGTCTGGCAAGGCTGCGGGCACCGAGTCGTCTGGCAAGGCTGCGGGCACCGAGTCGTCTGGCAAGGCTGCGGGCACCGAGTCGTCTGGCAAGACTGCGGGCACCGAGTCAACTGGCAGAACAGCGGGCATCGAGTCAACTGGCGGAACAGCAGGCACCGAGTCGTCTGGCAAGACTGCGGGCACCGAGTCAACAGGCACGACAGTGGGCACCGGGTCATCAGGTATCGGATTGTCTGGCTCGACAGCGGGCATCGGGTCACCAGGTATGACAGCGGGCACTGGGTCACCAGGCATCAGGTCATTTGGCTTGCCAGTGGGCACCGCGTCATCTGGCAAGGCAGTGGGCACCGGGTCACCAGGTATGACAGCGGGCTCTGAGTCAATTGGCACGACAGCGGGCACTGGATCAGGTACCGGATCATCTGGATCAACAGCGGGCATCGAGTCAACTGGCCTAATAGGATCGTCGGGCTGGATCAGTTCATCATGCTGAGTAGCGGCATCAGGCTGAATGCAGGCATCAGGCTGAATGAGGAGAGGCATCAGGCTGAGGAGAGGCAGGCAGGAGAGGGAGAGGCTTCAGGCTGAGGAGAGGCTTCAGGCTGAGGAGAGGCATCCGGCTGAGTCACGGAAGGCAGGTTCACCGGTTTGGTTTGGATACTGGCAGGATGGTATTGGTTGGAAAGAATTTTCGCTTTTTTCTGGTTTTAACTACTGGAGCACTGCAAGTAAACGCAGGTCTGCAAACGAATGGAGCAGCTGGAGACAGAGAAAAACTGGAGGATGGAACAGGAGAGGGAGCAGTTGCTACAGAGGGCTTTTTTACAGGGTTAAAGGCAGGATAGGTGCAGCGAGTGGGAACAGGGTACTGACATGCGGTAGATAGCCAAGTATACTGGGCTGTAACTGGAGGAGCTGGTGGGAATACAGGAGTAGAGTTAGAAGCAGGACTGGGTTTTTGTAAGCTGACTGAGGCTGGGTGCAACAAGTCTGTCCATGTCTGCAGTAGGGGTTGAACAAAGCTGAGCTTACACAAAGCCTGTCTGGTCAATGACTGCACTGCGTTTATACAATCTCTTAGTGTCTGTGGTGAACATGTGGAATAACGCTCCAGAAAGTAACCCACATCATCCTCTAATAACCACACCAGGGACTCAACCTGGTCTGCACTAAATGGTGGCAAAAATTCATCCCTGCATTCGGGGGAACCAGATGAAACCAACTCAACACAAACCTGAATCAATGGCTGCACCATAGAGAAATCTGTGCCCTGATCTACTAGAACATGAGCGAGCCGTATACATTCTAGCAGTTCATCCCGGGGATACTCCTTCAGAGTCTGATAAGCATACTCTCTGTCATCAAGCACTAGCAGAGATAAATACTCAACCTCATCCAGATCCATCCTTCCCATCAACAAGCCAAGATGGCTTCCCTGTGCAGCCACTTCTGGTCAGGATTGGCCTTGGTGTAATGTCAGGGCTCCCAGGTGTGACCAGAGATGTGTGACTGACGCAGGGAAACGCAGACCTCAGATATGTTTATAAACAATATAATTTATTAACACTAACAATACAAACATAAACGCAGTGAAATACTAAAACATAATACAGTGCAAACAAACCAAAAACCAAACCACCCACAGATAACAGTACATACAAGCAAGCGTCGTCAGGCAGGCCGGGTCAATATCAATAGGGCAGGTAGGTACAGGGGGGGCAAGCGGAGATTGGTCAGGGTCACAAGCCAGGGATCAGAACAGGTAGCAAGCAGCGTGGTACAGAGGGTCAGACAGAGGGATGGTCAGGAGCGAGCCGGGATCAGAGCAGGAGAAGTCAGCAGCGGTTCAGAAACAGGATGCAGGACAGAAACAGGATACAGGGCCCAGGACAAACACACACCAAGGCAGAGTCTGTGGGTCTGGCCATCCCTTAAATACCCCAGCATAATCAGTTACAGGTGTTAGCTGGCTGCAAAGTTGAGTCTCTGATTGCTGGGAACACCCGCTGGCCAGCCCTGGTACTGCAGATCAAAAGGCAGGTGAGTCCATTCCCACCATAGCTGGCCAGTCCATTCCTGACAATTATATTGCTGGCTTTCATTATAAGTGCCACTCACTGGCTCCTTATATGACACATGTGGAGTAGGAGCTTTATCAACCACTACAGATTTAACTGGTGTGGAATTGGTAGATCCTATATCTGGATTAGGGGCTGAGGATTGCCATTTTAAATACTAAATTTTTTGAAAAGTCATTAGTATCCCTATGGTATTTCTTCATTTTTCTAAATTTCACCTCCGTATCAACTTTTTCCAGGTCTTTACTTAATCTTTTTGTCAAATTGACCATTTGGGGTGTGTCCTTAAATGGTTCAATTTGTTTCCTTATGTCCTCTATTTGCATCTCCAAATTCCTCATTTTTTTCTGTTTTTCTCTTAAGCAAAAATTGCACTAGTTCTAAACCTTTTTCATTAAAAAAACAGAACCATTCTTCCACAGAATCTGCATCCGTGAGCCCATCACTGATGGGAACATCCCATCTTAATCTCCTGGGGACTAATCTATCTTTTAGGTATTTTTCATGAGTGGCCATGTCCCACCAAATAGTAACCTTTTTCTCCATTAGGTGGCCCAATTTTCTCAGGAGAGTATCCAGATCACCATTTTTACTAATTCCATCTTTATTAAATACATCTTCCAGATCAATGGTTCTATTTTCTAGAAACCCAAAAACATCCATGTTTGCTGCGGGAGGTAAATTGGTACAACTAAGCAGAAATAAATATACAGAAATCCCCCTGCGCTCCACAGAACCTAGTGAGTTAGCTGCTATCACCTTTCTCTATACCGCAAGATATGTGAAACAAAATTATATAAGTGGTGAAGCGCTCAACTTAAATAATAGTGACAATTATCTCATACCTAAATACACTTATTAATCAATATAAATGAAACTAGTGCAATATCCCCATATATAAATTGTACGTCCCTGGTGGTATAGTGATAAACAAATAATACCTCTTAAGCTATGCAAATATAAATAAATAAAAAACTAGTGCAATATCCTCATATATGCATTAAACATCCCTGGTGGTATAGTGATGGACAACTAATACGACGGATCGCGGCCGTCCTGTGCATAGTGGGCTCCATGAAAATGGAGGTAATATACACGCCCCTTGTAGATTATCCTGAGTAGTTAAAAGGAAGTGCGGCCATCCAATGCGGTATCCTGAAGAAGCCACGTGATCGTGGCGCAACGCGTCGACGTATTTCCGGTCATAGGGGTTTCATTTATATTGATACGGAGGTGAAATTTTAGAAAAATTAAGAAATACCATAGGGATACTAATGACTTTTCAAAAAATTTAGTATTTAAATGGCAATCCTCAGCCCCTAATCCAGATATAGGATCTACCAATTCCACACCAGTTAAATCTGTAGTGGTTGATAAAGCTCCTACTCCACATGTGTCATATAAGGAGCCAGTGAGTGGCACTTATAATGAAAGCCAGCAATATAATACACAGTCTTATCCTACTCCCAATAACGGGTGGAGACCTGTGAAGAGAGGAGGATCATATAATGGACAAGCAGGGAGAGGTAAAAGAGGGAGACCCTATTACCAACCGTATAGATCGAATCAATCTAGGTCAGATTACCAACAACCGAGGAATTATTATCCACAACAAGGGATGAATTATCAACCATATTATGAGAGAAGTCCTAGGAATGGAGATTGGTATCCACCTAGGTATGATAATCAGGGTCCTGTCCCAACCCAGAATAGGTTTGAACCTTTAAATCATTATCCTAGTAGGGATTTTTTAGAGAGGGGCAAAGGGGAGAAGAGTCCAATACCAGGGAAACAGAAAAGCCCAGGAAGAGAAGGGGCTGCAGAGGAAGCAAAAAACAAAAGGAAAAGAGACCAGTAGGGGAAGGGATCTTTAACATTAGTGGGACATCCCTTTCAAGAGAAGAAATTATGGTCCTTGACAAAGGTTTAAAATTTGCACCCCCTAAGAATATGGATAAGTTTAATACGTATATAGATACGCAAAAATACATCAGGAAATTGAACTTGAAGAAATATTTTTTAGGGCTCACTAGAGCCAAAGATAATACTTTTAAGAATTTTAATGATAAATTTACCCATACCGCATTGAAAAATAAATCTGTTTTTATCCCCAGATTAATAGTAATAATCAAGTGGAAGTTTTTAAAAAAATGGTTAATAAAGATTTAGAGAATTTACAAATTCCGAATAAGAAGGTTAACCATGGATTTCAAATAGGTGTGAATAAATTAATGAAAAGGAATGACATAGTAGTAAGGCCGGCAGATAAGGGAGGGGGAATCGTTGTACTTTCCAAGGATTATTATTGTAGTGAATTGCAGGCACAGTTGGATGATGTGGATACATATCAGAAATTACTAAAAGACCCCACAAGGATATACAGAAAGGAATTGGAACAGCTGATTAAAATAGGTGAAAAGAAAAATACTAAATAGTAAAGAGGGCAGATATTTGGTACCAGAATGCTGTCGTATACCGGTAATCTATACGATTCCGAAGATGCATAAAGATTCTGTTAACCCACCGGGGAGGCCGATTGTTAACGGTATCCAATCGGTATTGGCCAGACTAGGCCAATATATAGATACCTTTTTACAACCATTGGTCCAGAATACGGTATCGTTTTTGAGAGATACCAAACATCTAATTCAACTTCTGGAAGAGGAAAAAGGGAGCTCTAACATAATATTGGCTAGCGCTGATGTATCCTCGTTATACACTATCATTAACCATGAAGATGCATTGGAAGCCACGGGGTGGGGTCTGAGGGAATTAAGTAATTTAAATTGGACGCAGAGGAAATTTATTATACAATGTCTTGATTTCAGTCTGAGCCATAACTACTTTTGGTATGACAAGGTTTTCTATAGACAGATTAGGGGGTGTAGCTATGGGAGCTCGTTTTGCCCCAAGTGTGGCAAACTTGTTCATGGCCCACTGGGAACAAGATTCGGTATATAAAGATAAACCTGCTGAACTGGCAATGTATAAGAGATACATAGATTAATAATATAATAATAAGAACATAAAGTTTGTATGGAAATGCAGTAATCAGTCCATTCAATTTTTAGATTTGGACATCCAAGTACAAGAGGAAATTATTAGTACCAAAACGCATTTCAAGGATGTGGACCGGAATGGTTACATCCCGATAGAGAGCTGTCATTTTCCCCCTTGGTTACTGAACATCCCAAAGGGCCAGTTCATCAGGTTAAAAAGAAACTGCACATACAAAGAAGATTATAATACTCAGGCCATGATTTTAGAAAAAATGTTTGCATCCAAAGGTTATTCTGTGGTTGATCTTGAGAAGAAAAAACTGGAGGTGGCCAATATGGATAGAGAGAAACTTATTGGGAATAAAATAAAAAGTGATGATAAGGAGAAGGCTGATCAAGTAGCGGTGATTCTGGATTTTAATTTACAATATAAAAAGATCCAAAATATTTTTTAGGAAGCACTGGCCGATTTTAAAAATGGACCCCCTACTAGGCAATATATTGCCAGAACAACCCAAATTTATCTACAGGAGAGCTTCTACTTTGAGGAATAAAATTATGAAGAATGTATTAGATCCACCTAAGATGAATAGAGAAAGTATCCTGTTTAATGTTACAGGTTTTTATCCTTGTAAAAAATGTAGTGTCTGCAAAGTCACAAAAGGGCAAAATCAAAAGAAGAAAGAGTTTGTGTCTAATAGCAATGGGAGGCCATTTGATATCAAAGATTTTATTACGTGTAAAACCGAAGGGGTCATTTATGTTCTAGAGTGTAACTGTGGTCTGCAGTATGTGGGACGTACTAAAAGGGCTTTGTGGGTGAGATTAAGAGAACATGTGAAAAATATACAAAAGGGTAACCCAAAACATAGTGTTTCCAAACATTTCGCTAGTCATCATGGGAATGACCCCTCGGGATTGAAATTCTGGGGGGTAGAACGATATAGAAAACACTGGAGAGGGAGCCACAAAGTGAGAACAATAAGTCAGGCGGAGTCCAAATGGATTTTTCTTATGCAAACGCTGACACCTAGAGGCTTAAATATTGAATTTGACCTCAATTGTTTCATTAATGACTTTTAATATTACTTGGTTAAGGTTTAGAATGTTTAATTTGGTGTTTTAGAAATGTATGATTCCATTTTATGCGAACATGTGGTATGGGTATTATACAGGAGTTTTTTATTAGATGATGTTTTTATTGGAATTTATTAAATTATGTAGAATTAGGTGTAAATTAATTTAATTAATATTTCTTCAAATCAACATATTATAAAAGAATTATAATATATTAAATTAAATTTATGTAATGGGGTAGTTTTTAAAAATATGTTTAGGGGGGAGGGGAATCACTAGTAGTGGATATGTGTGTTTTTACACATACATTGATTTATCCCCTGATTAGGTTTGTATATATTTATAATTTTCCTTGGTTATATAATTGTATTTGGGTATAGAGTATATACCCATTTTAATAATATTAATTATGGGGTTTAATAAAAGTTTTTTTTATGGGGGGTTATCTGTATCATCTAGGAGCAGTAGTGAAGGCATAATGGGAAACCAGGGGAAGTAGCGGCGGATCGCGGCCGTCCTGTGCATAGTGGGCTCCATGAAAATGGAGGTAATATACACGCCCCTTGTAGATTATCCTGAGTAGTTAAAAGGAAGTGCGGCCATCCAATGCGGTATCCTGAAGAAGCCACGTGATCGTGGCGCAACGCGTCGACGTATTTCCGGTCATAGGGGTGACGTACTTCCGGTTCCGGGTTCGGACGCCATCTTTGGACACCTGTATACACCCATAGCACATGGGAACTGCTTTCTCTCGATTTGAGGATATGTGAGTGCAATTTTTCATTGTATCGTTGAGTGCATTAAAACAGTATTGCACTATGGAGGTTTGCTTTTGATTTGCATATGCGCCTTGTGTCTGAGTCCGTTTTGTGAGGGGAGTTATTGGAGTGTAACTTACTGCCTGGAGGAGGATCTTTGGTCGGGTGGAGGCAGTGGAGGAGAATAATATCTGGCAGAGTCCGTTTTGTGAGGGGAGTTATTGGAGTGTAACTTACTGCCTGGAGGAGGATCTTGGTCGGTGGAGGCAGTGGAGGAGAATAATATCTGGCAGAGAGATATATTATATATATATATATATATATAAAGCTCTGTGACCCGCAAGGGTCGATTGTGGAAGGTGAGGGGGCATTTTGGCTATTATTGAGGGGAGTCACGTCAAGATTTTCACGAAGAGCACTATTGCAGCATGGAGTGACATTATTTGAACACTTTTTCATGATTTTGCACAGTGTGGCATCACAATTTAATTTATTGTAATTAATTTTATTTAATTGGTTTAATTAATTGAATTCAAGTATCACTTTTGCACAGTTTAAGAGGTATTAGTTGTCCATCACTATACCACCAGGGATGTTTAATGCATATATGAGGATATTGCACTAGTTTTTTATTTATTTATATTTGCATATTTGCATAGCTTAAGAGGTATTATTTGTTTATCACTATACCACCAGGGACGTACAATTTATATATGGGGATATTGCACTAGTTTCATTTATATTGATTAATAAGTGTATTTAGGTATGAGATAATTGTCACTATTATTTAAGTTGAGCACTTCACCACTTATATAATTTTCTTTTGGTGGTATTTGATTGCCTGTGCACTTTCTATTTTTGCTCTATAAAAAAAAACAAAGACAAATTTGAGAAAAAAAAATATTTTTGACTTTTTGCTATTAAACATGTTCAGTAAAAAAAAAAAAAAAAAAAAAAAATCACATTTCATCATAAATTTAGGCCAAAATGTATACTTCTAAATGTCTTAGCTAAAATAAATTCCAATACGTGTAAATTAATTGGTTTACGTGAAAATTATAGCATCTACAAATGGCAGTATATACTGCAATTTAAAAAAAAAAAATGTATACTAGTAATGGCGGCAATCAGCGACTTATAGCGGGACTGCAGCGGCATTCTGACATGGGGGGGGGAACTGACTAACTGCCACTAACATCCCCAGTGACACTAACACAGTGAGCAGTGCTAATAAAAAAAGCACTGACACTGTACTAATGGCACTGGGCATGAAGGGGTTATTGTGTGGCAATCCAAGGGTTAACTGTGTGCCATGTTAGTGCTTCACTGTAAGCACACTGCTATGCACAGCCATGCAAAGCTGTGTCCAGGAGCTGACAAGGGAGAGAACTGTATTGTTTACAAAACGTTCCCCCCCCCCCCCCCCCCCCCCGTGTCTGAGATAATCGGCAATCACCAGGCGCCGGCGAGTAATCACCGACCGGAATTCGGTGATTGACAGCCGAGGCTGCGAAATTGTGGCACGGGTAGGGCGCACGTGCTCCCTACCCAGAACTGCAAAATCATGAGTATATACGTGATTTTGCACAACCATGCTGCCCTGTAGCAGTACTTCTGCTATAGGGCAGACGGGAAGTGGTTAACGTCGACTCTTCAGCTAAGCTAAACATTGGGGCCCATTGGTGCATGTTAAGACCATCAAAAAGGCTTGCAGGCAGCATTCAGGCTGCGAGGTACCTGATAGGTACACTATATTGCAAAAACTATTGGGACACCCCTCCAAATCATTGGATTCAGGTGTTCCAATCACCTCCATGGCCACAGGTGTATAAAATCAAGCACCTAGGCATGCAGTCTACTTCTACAAACATTTGTGAAAGAATGGGTTGCTCTCAGGAGCTCAGAGAATTCAAGCATGGTACCGTGATAGATTGCCACCTGTGCAATAAGTCCATCTGTGACATTTCCTTGCTACTGTCAACTGTTAGTGGTATTATAACAAAGTGGAAGCAACTGGCAACTGACAGAGCAGGGTCTGTCTGCAAAGTCAACAGCTAAAGACCTCCAAACTTCGTGTGTCCTTCAGATTAGCTCAACAGTGCATAGAGAGCTTTATGGAATGGATTTCCATGGCCGAGCAGTTGTATCCAAGCCTTACATCACCAATTGCAATGCAAAGAGTCGGATGCAGTGGTATAAAGCACGCCACCACTGAACTCTCGAGCAGTGGAGACGTGTTCTCTGGAGTGACATCATGCTTCTCTGTCTGGCAATCCGATGGACGTGTCTGGGTTTGGCAGTTGCCAGGAGAATGGTATTTGCCAGACTTCATTGTGCCAACTGTAAAGTTTGGTGGAGGGGGGATTATGGTGTGGGGTTGTTTTTCAGGGGTTGGGCTAGGTCCCTTAGTTCCAGTGAAGACTTTTTTGACAATTTCATGCTCCCAACTTTAGTTACAAAGTCTGGCTGAAAAAAAAACAAAAGTCCATCCACTTCAACCATAGTAAAAAAAAAAAGTTACAATACTACACCCACAGTTGATCCAGAGGAAGGAAAAAAAACCCCAGCAAAGCATGATCCAATTTGCTCCTGCAGGGGAAAAAATTAGGCAATCGGATATTCCCTGGATCAACTTTACCTATAAATGTTCATATCCAGTTATATTCTGTGTATCCAAGAAAGAATCCAGGCCTTTTTTAAAGCAATCCACTGAGCTGGCCAGAACCAACTCTTGAGCCAACTCTATTCCACATTTTCACAGCTCTCACTGTGAATAAACCTTTCCGTGTTTGGAGATTTTTTTTTTTTTTCTGGAGGAAAAGAAATTTAGAGTGCCCCCTTGTCCTTGTGATGACCTCAGGGTGAATAACTCTACACCGAGTTCACTATATGAACCACTGATGTATTTATACATGGTGATCATATCCCCCCTTAATCACTTCTCAAGAGAGAATACATTCAGTTCCTCTAATCTTTCTTCATAGCTGAGCTCCTCCATGCCTCTTATCAGTTTGGTTGCCCTTCTCTGTACATTCTCCAGTTCCCCAATGTTCTTTTGTGAATTGGTGCCCAAAACTAAACTGCATATTCCAGATGAGGTGTTACTAATGATTTGTACTAAGGTAAAATGATATCTCTCTCACTGGAGTCTATACCTCTTTCAATACAAGAGAGGATTTTGCTCGCTTTATAAACTGCAGCTTGTCATTGCATGTCATTATTAAACTTGTGATCTACCAGGACTCCCGGAACCTTCACCACCATTGATTCCCCCAGTTGTACTCCCCCTAGTATGCATGATGCATGCATATTCTTAACCCCCAAGTGCATAACCTTACATTTATCAAAATTAAACCTCATTTGCCACATATTTGCCCAATTAAACAGTGCATTGAGGTCAGCTTGTAAGTTGAAGACATCCTGTAAGGACGTTCTTCCACTGCACAGCTTGGTGTCATCTGCAAAGACTGAAATGGTATTTTTAATCCCAGACCCTATATCGTTTATAAATATATTAAAAAGTAAGGGTCCCATCACTGAACCTTGGAGTACACCACTGACAACCCTAGACCATTCAGAGTATGAATCATTAACCACTACTTTCTGAATACGATCTTTTAGCCAGTTTTCTATCCATTTATATACAGATTTTTCCAAGCCGGTAGACCTTACCTTACACATTAGCCATGTGTGGGGAACTGTGTCAAACACTTTTGTAAAATCCAAGTATACCACATCCACAGCCACCCCTCTGTCCAAGGTTTTGCTCACCCCCTCATAAAAAGAAATCAGATTTATTTGACAACTTCTGTCTTTCATGAATCCATGCTGTCTGTTGCTTGAAATATTTTTTTCAAGCAAGAACTCATTTATGTGGTCTTTTATTAAACTCTCCAGTATCTTCCCAACTATAGTTAAACTAACAGGTCTGTACTTGGTAAAGATTGTGTCCCCTTTTTAAATATTGGCACCATATTTGGCCTTACGCCAATCCAGTGGTACTATACCAGTCATTGAAGAGTCCTTAAAAATTAGAAACAATGGATTTGAAATGAGAGAGCTCGATTCTTTAAGGACCTGTGGGTGTATGCCATCCAGTCCAGGTGCTTTATTCACCTTTATTCAGTCTAAATATTTTTGGATCCTATCGATTGTGAGCCAATGTGGATCATCTGGAGCTGTGTCAATACCATGCCGATTATGGACTCTTCCATGTTCCTTTGTATACAAAGAGCTGAAAAAGGTATTTAATAATTTTGCCTTCTCTTTGTCCCCAGTCACCCACTCTAGCTTATCTTGTAAAGGGTCTACATGCTTGGACTGGACCTTTTTTACGATTAATATATTTGAAGAATTTATGGGAGTTGGTCCTGCTATCTTTTGCAATCTGCCATTTGTTTTCAATTTTTGCGGCCTTTATTTCCTTTTTGCATATTCTGTTATATTCTTTGTAATGTTTAAACAATGATAGTGTTCTTTCATTTTTATATTTAATAAAAGCTCTTTTTTTTAATTATCTATAGCTTTTTTAACTTGCCCGTAAGCCACATAGCTTTGATTTTTAGCCTTTTAAACTTGTTGCCCATGGGGAATATATTTTGCAGACTGTTCACATACAGTCTTTGAAGAACTCCCATTTCTGTGTTGTTCATTGTTGCCAATATTCCCTCCCAGTGTAAGTCTTGGAGAGCAGCTCTCAGCCTTGGAAAATTAGCTCTCTTAAATTGAGCGTTTTTATTTTTTTGTGCTTGCTGTTTACAGCTAACAATAAATGAAATCATGTTATGGTCACTGTTACCCAGATGTTCTTTTATGTGGACATTCTTAATAAGCTCTGCATGGTTTGTGGGAAGAGTTTGAGGATGGCCCCCTTCTGTTCCAACATGACTGCCCACCAGTGCATAAAGCAAGGTCCATAAAAGACATGGATGAGCGAGTTTGGGGTGGAGGAACTTGACTGGCCTGCACAGAGTCCTGACCTCAACCTCACAGAACACCTTTGAGATTAATTAGACCAGAAACTGCGAGCCAGGCCTTCTCGTCCAACATCAGTGCCTGACCTCACAAATGCGCTTCTGGAAGAATGACCAAACATTCCCATAGATACACTTCTAAACCTTGTGGACAGCCTTCGCAGAGAAGTTGAAGCTGTTATAGCTGCAAAGGGTGGGCCAACCCCATATTGAACCCTACGGACCAGGGGCGGACTGACAACTCATGGGGCCCCTGGGCAATAGGGGATCATGGGGCCCCTGTGTCCTTGCCCAAACTCAAAAAGCCTATGAAAAAGGTACCAGGGGCATCTCATGGGGCCCCCTACTGGCCCCGGGCCCTCGGGCAGTGCCCGAGTTTCCAAATGGTCAGTCCGCCCCTGCTACAGACTGACTGGGATGCCATTAAAGTTCATGTGTGTAAAGGCAGGTGACCCAATACTTGTGGCAATACAGTGTATGTATATTTTTTTGCCATTTTATATACAGATAAAAATTTATTTTAAGTAGCATGGAGTAAGGGCCAGTTCACACCACAATTTCTGTATTCCAGATGTGTTTCTGCGTGTGTGTTTTTGGTGCAATTTTTATGTGTTCTGGTGCATTTTTGAGGATTTTTCCATTCTGCATCCCAATTTCATCTTCATCTCAATTCAGGACATGTGTGCTCTGGTGCATTTGTGAAGCATTCTAGTGTGTTCTGCCACATTCCAGATGCATTCCATACAGGAAAAATGCAGCAATTTCTACTTTTGTTGACTGCACTGTCCTGGTGTGAACTAAGGGCATTGGAATACATGGAAAACATGTATGTAGATTAAAAATACACTGGACTGCATCTGGTGTAAACCAGCCCTAGGGGGGTGAGCTATGCCCCTCCAGATTTTAGTTGTGCCCCCCAAAGCTAAAGCTATCTGTGTGGGGAAAAGGAGCACTGCTGCCTGTGCCCAGGCTGTGTGCAGTACAGGGATGGGAGAAGGAGCTCTACTGAGTGCCCTTCCAGCAGTGACCCCTGTCCTCTGCCCTGCCAGCAGTGACCCCTGTCCTTTGCCCTGCCAGCAGCGACCCCTGTCATCTGCCCTGCCAGCAGTGACCCCTGCCCTGCTGACCCTTTGCTCAGCTCTGTTGACCCCTGTGGTCTGCCCTGCTGACCCCTGTACACTGCCCTACTGACCCCTCCCCACTGCCCTACTGATTCTCTGCCCCTCTGACTTTTTTTTATTGCACTCCTACATCAAACAGGCTAGATCCAGCCCTGCCTAAGGGTGTATTTAACCTTCACATTTACAAAAGATCTTAAAATTCTCAAAAGTTAGTATTATATTATTTATTTTGTAAAGTCAATAACTTTAGTGTGAGGACAAATTGAGCTACAAACAGGTGTAGTCCCCAGCTTTGTTTGCATGCTGCTGTATACACTCTGTACACATGGTGGCAGCAGAGATCATATTTTATTTTTACCAAACTAATATGTAATATATGGACACAACTAAAACAATAATATAAAGTGACAAGTCGTGATGTGACTGAATGAAAGGAGAAACAAATGTGTCTTCCAATTAGGGCCCATTCAGACTCATTTAATGGCCTTTCATGCATTTAATGGCCTTTACCTTTGCATGACTCCATACTGCTGTGCCCGTCTTTGTGAATAGTACCCCCGCTGTACCATCACAGCATAAAATAGCATAGAAGCATAAACTACGCTCTCTCTGTCTCTGCGCTCTCCAGGTGATGCAGGTTTCAGTCAAACTGAGGCAAACTCTGTTTCCCAGAAACCCTTGCATGGTGCCTGTTGTAGCGTGTGGCCTTCATGCAGGCTGTTAGAGATGGCGATAAAATTGCAGCATGAAAGGGAGTGCAAAAAAAAATTAAACAGATATTGTGGGTGTTCCTAAAAATAAAAGGTATGTGGACTCTTCAGCAGGTGGACCATTTTTGGATAGAATTGGTTAATACTTTATAATGCCAAATTACAGTATGGCCATACATCATGTATTGCAGTTGTGAGAACTCAAAGAGGTTGGGAACCATAGGGCATACCAGCAGGAATTATATCCAAACACTTCCCATGCTCAACATATATTATGGATCTGGCAAGAGAATAAATGACAAGATCGCATAGTGGGCAGAGCAGAGCCTGTGCTGATGTCACCATGCTGCCAGAGGAAGCAACGCCAGAGTTGTTTGATGTGCCCTTGCTCATTAAAGCGGAACTCCACCCAAAAGGGGAAGTTCTGCTTTAAGTGGTGGTCCCCCCCGTGAGGAATTGGCATCTTTGGGAAACGGGTACCCGATTTTGACAGGTACCCTCTCCCACTTTCCCTGCAATCCCCTAGGAAATTGGAAGCAGAT